CCTTTTCTTTAACTATTCTTCTAAGTTCATTTGCTTTGATAAACAAATCAATGTTCATGCTGGTCTCAGCTTCATCTGCTAAAGCATCTACTTCTTCATTAATATCTTTAATGTCCCTTTGAAGAAATTTTTTTCTTCTACTTCATATAATCAATTTCTTCCTCAATGATATTTCGTTTCCTCTTTGAATTTTCAGATTTAGTTAAAGATTTTTGTTCTTCTAAATACTGCATATATTTAGACCTTGCAGAAGCTGCTGCTGATCTCATTCTTTATTAATTTCAATATTAAGAACACCTCCAGAAAATTTTATGTAATCAAATACTGTGCATTGAAAAATGTATGATGAGTCACTTAAATTTTCAATTTCAATTGCTTTATTTACAGAGAAGCCCCTTTCCACAGAGGCCTGTCCATGTGACAAGATAAGAATCATTTTCACTATTTTCCATACTTTTGAATAGTGAAAATCATGAAAATAAGAAGTGAGAAATCTGTCAAGAGAAAGATTTTGAGGATCAAAAGTAGAAAATTTATATAAATTTGTCTTAACTACTTTATCTAGAAACTCTCCAAACTGCAGAAGAATTTCATCCCAATCATCTTGTAAAACACGTTTATTCTGCATTAATACCATTAGAACTATTTTCATTTTGTTCTGGGCTTTTTCTGGACTTTTAACCATCAATCGCGGGTCTATACAAGATGCATTTCGAATAAGAGAATAATTTATTGGACATTTAGACATTAAGTGTTGTACTATTGTTAAGACACATTGTTGACCTTCTTGTTTCAATGCAAAACTTTCAGCTTGTGAAATATCCTTCTTGCGGCATTTATCATTCATTAACTGCTCAGCAATGAATCCCAAATAAACTTCACTTTTATCATTATAACAATTTTAACAATTTGGATCATTAAAATTAAATTTATAAAGATTTTCTGCTTTTAGTTATTTTTGAATATTCTAGTTTCAAAATTTTAAAGTGCTGAAGGCAATCATTTACAAGTTTTAAGATATCTTCAGCAAAAAAGGGAATAAGTGGTTTATCACTTTGATAATATTCAAGGAAAGGCAATAATATTTTCGACAGAGAGAGAAAAAAATTTATTTTATAAGAAATGTTTTATCTTTAGTTGCCTCCAAAATGTTTGAGAAGGATTTCGATGAATATTTTTTAAACTTCCCCATTTCAACTTCTTTAATGTACAGTAACAAGTCATCCCATATTTCAATGGCTCTTTCAACTGCTGGGACATTTTGCAACCATCGGTAAAAGCAGAACTTCACAGGTAGCTTTTTTAAGCCAGATATACTTAAAAAATCTTCACGTCTTGCAGGAGAATCTTTAAAAATCCAATATAAGGAGGATGAGAATGATGGAATGTCCCAGCTAGTGGATGACATCCTATACTTGAAAGCATTGTTAAGAATGTGTAAACCACATGTCCCTAATGTCAAGCATTGAATGTTATATTCCTTTGTCAAGTCCTGTTGCAATAAATCATAAAATTTCCAGTTTACTGCAGGACCATCCATCGATATTTGTAAGAGTTTTGACAAGTCTAGTTTTTCAACACATTCATAAAATTTGGATAAAATAATTTCACTTGTTGCATGCCCTATAAATGCAGAAGTAAGGTACTGAGTTCTAACCTTATTTTCGTGATGCCAGTACCTCACATAAATATCTAGTTGCTTCTTTTGATTTGTCAGATTATCAGAGTCTCATCAAATAGTATAAATAGAGTCTCATCAAATAGTCATTATCAGAGTCTCATCAAATAGTAATGTAAAAAACTCAGCATTTTTACAATGCTTTAGTAACAAAGTTTTAAAATAAGGGCCAAGACCAAAATGACAGATATAAGCACATTTCTTTTCACCACATGAAAACTATTTTGCAATGGAACTATCCAGGAACATTTTAGTGAATAACGGCCCAATATCATCGCACGATTTAAAAGAATAGTGGCTTTTGATGCAATTAAAAGCCACAATATTTCTGCATCTGTAACTTCAGATTTGAAAAGAAAAGAATTGATTTTATTATTTTCTACACTTATTGATGTTGAATTAGCAGTTCAATCTTTTCCTGAAGTAGATGGTTCTTCTAACTTCATGATACTGACAAAATTCATGATACTGTTAGAAGAAACTCTGCAGTTGAGAAGGGAAAGATGTTTTGCAGCTAAAAGGGGCATTACATGCAAGGCATTAGTAAAATTAAGTATCGCATATATATGTATATAAAGAAATCTATATATATAATAAGAAATGTATACTGAAAATATACATTTTTTACTATATATATATATATACAGTACAAATTCCGAGATCCGGACATCCAATATCTGGAATGATCTAAAATCCGGACCTCAAAGCCACCACCAACCAATTTTTTAGGGCTTTTTTGGAGGGAAGGGGTATGCTTTACGCATGCGCATTAGATTTTTTTCCTCATCATAAAAAAACATGTCGGAAATCCCGATTCTTAATCTCAGTATGGCGCTAAATAAAATATCTCATTATTGAAGAAATAATTATTTTAGCATACATTTGTGTGATTAGTAACTTGACACCATAGCTGCGTATCTGCTTGGCATAATCTCATACCGAAACATTTATTAATTTTACAGCAACTAGTATTTTATATCCTTGATGCCGAAATCGCGAATCATTATTTATTGTATTTTGCTTTCATCACCGCATGTTTATCAACGGATGACAACTTGAGTGATGACTCATGCAGCGACGCCAAATAACAGAGTATTATCCGATTACAGATTTAAGTTTAATGCGCTAAAATGTTGACAAGGGGAGATTTAACAGAAATTTCTTTCCTTATGCTAAAAATAGATTTTGTTAATGATACTCATAGGACAAACGATTATATTTAGTGCTATTTGACTTAAGAATAACTGATTTGTTATTCACATAAAGCCAGAATCAGCGCCAGAGCTCGCATGGCCGCACCAGGTGGCAGAATTTAGGGAAGTTAAACAGAAATTTTTCATTGCGATGACAATGCCCCAATCATCAATCAATTAACAGAGGGCGAAATCTGTAGTATGGTTCTAAATCCAGAAAATACAGATACCAATAGTGAAGAAAGTAACAGAGAGGTTAATGAATGAGAAAAAATTTTGATTGACAAGTTATTCGGAATTCTCGACACAGCAATTACAGGACTTGAACAATGGAACTTAATAACTCAACAAGAAATTATATGTCTATAGTATTAGTCTAAAGTATCAGCAGAGAAAACAAATCAAACACCTCACATTGAAAGAAATGTTTAATAAAGTAAACATATAAATATTAAGCTCTTTTCTTTTGTAAATTTTGATACCCTTTAAATCATAAATGCTTCATTATTTCATAAATCACGATTTCATATTTTCAATTTTATAATTTCTACGTGCCATCTCACTAGATTTAAAATGATCTAATATTCGTAAAAATCTCAAATCTGGGATCGCCGAAGTCCCGACCTCGGACTTTGTACTGTATATATATATATATTATATTTTCAGTTAAACTTCTACCCAATAACTTTAGTAATTCATGAAAGTTAATTTTGCGTCTAGTTAATTCAGGAAAATTAGTTTCAATTAGTTGTTTTCAGCTTTAAAAATATTAAAATTTTTTTAATTAGTTAGTTGTTTTCAACTAATAATTGTATTGCCATTAGCAAAAATAATGCATTACTATCAACAGCATATGATTAAACCAAATACTTAATTGTCTATTGAAGCTTCAAAACGTATTCCCGAACTTCACTTTTTCTCGGCTAGCATTACCGAATTTGCCCTTGGCGACCTAAAATCGAAATGGAGCCAACAGATTTCCCGCGAAATCGATAACAGACACTCTGCAGAAATAAACTCATAATCCCGATATCCCATACATATAGTATGTGCAAAAGAGAATAAACTCCGTAGAAGGTGATAAAAAATTAATTTATGGCTTAATTGAAACAAACACAGAAATTAAGCTAAGCAAAACCGTGTAAAAACAAATTGAAATGATAAAACGAAACTTAATTTTCATGTGAATTTTCAGCGCTGACTCTCCCATTATAGAAATTTCAATTTGTTTCAGACAAAAACCACATTTAGCTTTATAAGGATTGTCATCCATCAATATCCAGTCTTTGTAGTCAGCTTGATGAAGCCACAGTTTATTGAAAATGCACTTTCCAGGCATCTCGTTCCTATTGGCGTCGGAAAGGTTGTGGTCTTCCAGGTTGGGATTGCTCTAATTTTGGCAAATATTTTCAGAATCCCCCCTTTTTTTTCTCGAGCACCTTCATCATCACTTTCGCCTCTTAAAGAACTTCCGGCTTCACGCTTTCGTCACAATCTGCCTAAATTTATGGATAACACCTGTTTCGAAAGATTGGGTGAATAGCCAATCAGACACCGATACTTTAGTTCGGGTAGCTAATTGTTTTTTTTTTTTGTTTTTTTTTCCCCCGTTTGCAACGCAAATATGCCGACAAATTGGTTAAGATCCGTGCAATTTTAATTCCATATTCACGAGAAATCGCAATTCACACATAGAATGGCAATCATTAGAAATGATAAGAAATGTCAAATGAGCAAAATTAAGGACCGTTTATTCATTTTGGCCAAAAATTTGGCCTTTTAAGGACCAAAAATCATTTTTGAAAAAATTAAGTACTTTTAAGGACCGTACGAACCCTGTTATATAATTTAATTTTCAGATTTGTTTACTGGCAAACTTGCAGAACTTAAAAAAAAGTGTACTTTTTAATTTATTTTGGACACTAGTTATTGAGTTAGTTATTGAGTTACTGAGTTTTTGTTTCAACTCAAACACTTTGTGCAAAACTGTAAGTGTCTTGATTTTTAATAAGGAAACGGGTGCATATCCATTACTTTGAACAATTTGGGAAAATTCTGATTGAACAGTGAAATTTTATATTTAATCTTCTCGACTATTCTGAATAAAGGAAAATAAGATGAAAACTAACTTGTTTAACTCCTAAGAGTTCTGTGACATCCATTATGAAGCAGCTGCTGTAAATGGCCATCCAAGCAATGCCATGAACAACAGAGAAAAACCACCACAAAAGTACATGTTTTGAAGTCACTATTTCCCATACTGTCCAGTCAGGAATGGGTTGCCATAAGTACATTAAAACCTTAAGAACAGAAATTAAAAGTGAATAAATGAAAAATAGGATAATTTACACTTTATAAACAAAGTAATAAAATTTCTGTAAAAGTTATGACAATGAAATATGTAACAAGAATACAAATGGAAAATATTTTTTTTGTAATATGATTTTTATATGTAAAAAAAAAAAAAAAAAAAAAAAAAAAAAAAAAAAAAAAACAATGCAATTACATACACAAAATGACACTACACTTTCTGTTAACGAGGCACCAGTCATCAAATTTGTGCCAAATGTGGTAGCCTTAGGAATGGAGAGGTGGTTGCAGCATGTACTGCAGTGACCTGCTTTAAACAAATCAGTAGCCTTCCAGTGTCTGAGTCATTGGAGATCCTAACATTGGAGTTATTGCAGAAAACACAACTAAGAGATGAACAGCGAAGTACAGCAGAATGCATAATTTAAGAATTTCAAGTTGTTTTCTCTCACTCATCTTCTGACATAGATTAAATAAGTTTGGCACAGTGCAAAATTTATATGGGCAATAATCCACCAATCAAGCAACATCCAAGACATCTATTAACAGGTAGAACTAGGAAAACATTTTAAGGACATGCAAGAGAGCGACATCATCTAGCCTTCAGCAAGTCCTTGGGCATCTCCCATTGTCATAGTCAAAAAGAAAGATAGCTACCCTCTAGATTAATCTCTTTCATGCTGGATTCAAAGAGTGGCTATTGGCTTGTAGAAATACAGCCTGATTATCAGGAAAACATGGCATTTACTACCATACAAGGACTTTGGGAGGTTCAAGGTGATGCTATTTGGATTATGTAATCCACCAGCTACAAACTGAATGCCTCAGGTTTCCGAAGTCTTTCTTGTAAAGCCTGCCTGATATAACTGGATAACATCATCATGATTGTGAAAAGTTTTTAAGAGCATTTTAGAAAGGTGCTTCAAAAGTTGAAGGAAGGCAATTAACGTTAAGTCCTGCCAAATGTAAATTGTTCAGACAGTAAGAGACTTACTTCGGACATGTCAGCTCTGAGGAAAGAATGTGACTGGATCCAGAAAAAGTATCGGCAGTTGAAAGATAGGAGATACCATCAGAAAATGTCCATCAGCTGAGAAGTTTCATGGGGCTTTGTACACACTACAGGAGATTTGTGAAGGATTTTTCTTCCATTGCAAGACCCCCTTCACAAACTGACTGAATGCAAGCAAATATTGTTGTGGAAAAAAGAATGTGGGGATGCATTTGACAAATTGAAGTAGGCTTTTAACAGCTGCTACAATCCTAACATAACCTCAGCTTGACAAACTATTTACCCTTGACACGGATGTGAGCAACCAGTGTGTCGGTACTGTTTTGAAGTACCGACACAGTGGTTGCAGTCAATAATAAAAAAATAAACAGTCAAGAATGTATTGTGGCATATTGGATCAATGCCTATATAAACTAGAGAGGAATTACAGTGTGACCAGGAAAGAGTTACTGACCATAGTTAAAGCCGTAGAAAATTTCAGTTACTACCTCTGTGCGAGAAAATTCCTGCTCTGGACAAGATTATGCATTGTTGACCTGGCTTTTAAATTTCCAGAATCCCAAAGGCCAAATATTCAAATGGATACAGAGACTTCAGGGATATGACAACATTATTCATCATACGAAGAACTGACGCCTTGTCTAGAAGACCATGCCCAAAGAGCTGCTGACATTGTTCCAGCCTTGAAGTGAAATATGAGCTGCTTATTATACATTGTATGTCAAGTTGCAAATTCAACATCCTTAATTGAGACCCATGGAGTAAAAGTCCTATCTGGATAAAATATTCAACAGATGAATGGTCAAATTTCGAACTAAGGCCAAATGAAGAAACTGTAAATTTGGAAAGGAAGAAGATTATAATATCCTCTATAAATGGAGAGAAATAGATTTCTTTTATTGAATAGCTTCATACAAGAAGATAATTAGAATTACAGCATGGATTTAGAGATTTTTCAAGAATACTAAACAATTTGTCAAGAAAAGCCAAAGGCCATTATGGTAGGTGAAACTGAAAAAGCAGAAAAGATTAATTTAAAGAAAGCCCAAGAAGACTTTTCACTTGGGAAAAATGACAAACTACCATCTCTATCAACAAACATTTTACACTTTTTGTGGTATTACCTTTTGATCACCATGTTGTTAAAAGCTTAATAATGTGGAAACAGCAAAAACTGGGACATGCCAATGCACAGTATTTAATATTAACATTATGAGAAGATTACTGGACATTGAAGAGTAAGATAGTTAAGGAAATCATAGAGACATGCTCTGTTTTTAATAAGTACAATGCAAAACCAGTGAATTTTTACTAGAAGATTGAGAAGTTTAATTTTTGAATTCATAGGAGTGAATCTTTGTGATTCCTACATTTAAGAAATGGATCTAAGAGTTAGACAGTGTTGTTAACTAGTGCTGTTCAAATTGAACTACTATCTCTATCAACAAACATCATTGTCTACAGACAGTTTTGCTCTAGAACTGAGATTCTAAAGTGACCAGAAGAGGTCACCTTAAAATTATCTATTCCAACAATTAAGCAAATTTGGTGGAAACGGCTAACAAACTAAAGTCAGTTGATTGGTCCAAATAGCAGGAACTCTTATTGTTTAGGAGAACTATCTGGAAATCCAACCCATCATTAGCACCTAGTGGGATGGCTTTTGGAAGCATCTCATAAACATATTAAAAAATCATACTTAGACGTGTTTTAGAAAATGCTTGTCTAGATTACGAAGACCTATACAAAGTACTCTGTGATGCAGAAAATGTCATTAATAATAGAACTTCAGTTTTCATGTCTGAAGACAGCAATAATCTTATACCTTTAACTCCCTAATATTCCTGCAACAAATTAAAGAAGTTCCAAATTTGTTCTAATTGATTCAAGCACGGCTAATAAAAGATGCTTATAGATAAAACATTACAGAATGATTTAGAAATATTCAGGACAGTTGAGAGAATATAACAAGATTACAAAGGAATACAATTTAGAGGAAGGGGATGTCATCTTTTCTGGAGACGATAACATGAAAAAAGACAGCCAAAGTCATTAAAACGTATACAGGTAAACATGGAAAGGTATGTGTGGTCAAGACCAAACATGGGACTCATTACGACCTGTCCAGAAATTATATCTGTTAGAAGTAAAACACAATGACAAGCGGGGAGGGGGGGAACACCTGTCTGATACAATGACCATCATTCAACTTCTTCTATCTATGAATGTTCCAAGTGATCCTGAACATCTTAAAAATTATGAGGTTGTCATTCAAAAATCACAAGTTGAAAGTCTCCCCCCCCAAAAAAAAAGAAGACAATTAATGAAAAAGTAACTTAAGCATTGTTCAGTTATAAATCCTTGAATCTCGAAAGGGGGAGAATACCACGAATGTTTTCCTACCTCTGATATGGTAATTGTAACTTTAAAACAGAAAAAAAAATTTTGATTTGGAATTGTATTCATGTAGATTTTATGTAGATTGTGAAATGCTCTAAAATGTGTTTCTAATTTTATTGTTTTATTACATATTTTCAATGGCTAGTCACAGATGATAGTATGGAAGCAACTGTTTATATCTTTCTTTACACAAATTTAAAATACCCAGACATTTGCAAGTCCTGCTGATTGTAAAACATGCCACATGATTCATTTTCTGAAGGCAAAAAACATAAAAGTGATCAAAATCCATTCACAGATAAGTGAAGAGTATGGAGAAAATACTACGAGTACTAGAATGGTCAGAAAATTGATTAAAGCATTTACAGGTGGCTGTACTAATATTCATGAGGAAAAGCATAGTAAGTGACAATCTTGTATTACTGAAGACTTGGTACAGAAAATTGATGCAAAAGTTCAAAAAAACAGATGTTTAATAATTTCATCAATATGTGATGTGTTTCCTTAAGCTTCAAGGAGGGTTTTTAATGACACTGCGGCAGAACACTTAAATATTAGAAGCTCTACTCACGCTGGGTACCAAAAATGCTGACTGAGTTGCACAAAACCAATCATGTAACCAGTGCTTTGACTTTTTTACAATGGTACAATGATAAAGATGATCAGTTTGTAAAGCAAATTGTCACTGGCAAGAAACATGGGTAGCTCATGTTACAATAGAATAAAATAGTATTTACTTCAAAAACATGCCTCATATTACATAAAAACATTATTATACATAAAAAAAAAGCAAATAAAATCTCTGCTAAATGATACTGATTAAATTTCTAATTTGTGTAATACCTGGAGAGCAATGCATGAGCCACAGTTATAGAGCAGCCTTTCAATAACATCATAACCTCTGCTCTGCAAATAATATTTAACGCTTTGTCGTGCTTGAAGGGAATGTTGTAATCCAAACAAACTCAACAAAGACAGATTTATTAAAACTGGAATTAAGGCATTTCCTATAAAAAAAATTGTAGTGCATATAATAATTACAAAAAATTATTAGTACCTATAAACTGATGATAAGACAGTTTTATTAAAATTGGAATTAAGGCATTTCCTATAAAAAAATTGTAGTGCACATAATAATTACAAAAAATTATTAGTACCTATAAACTGATGATAATATTTGATAAAAGTAAAACATGTTACTTTAATATTAACTAACAGCATTTCATTCTAAATTGAAGGATGGCCTTCATGAAAAATGTTTTGAGTATGTTAAAAAAACAATGTTACTCTTTCATACAAACACGTAAATAATTCGGTAAAAGTATAGTTTAGGGTACCCCTTGGCGATTTTTGGCGGTACATGAATATCGAGTTTGTGCGATTCTTTGACTCGTTATTTTAGGCATCGATTTTTGCGTCCAAAATCGGCTGCTACAACAAAGCCAAAATAACAAGACAAACAATTGCACAAACTCGGTATCCATGTACACAGCGACCTATTTTCACTTAAAAAAAAAAAAATCTCCAAACTGCACAAAAATAGCATTGCGCACTACTTTGATTTTATCCATGTACACGTCAACCTATTTTCACTTGCAAACAAATAATATATAATCTCAATAAAGTACATTTTAAACCAAACAATAAATTAACATAAAAAAGGAAAACATGTTATACATTTAAGCACTACCAAAACCAAATATTCGCTATACCCTAATAAGAAGTTCCTTTGTCTTTAGTCTGTGGCACACAAAATTCCTTAACAGCATCCAAAAACTTCCTAAAATTATCTGAACTCGTATCTGTATATCGGCGTCGCCACATATATTCACAAAAATATCTTGCGTAGTTCACGACTGCCGATGACACCTTTGGTGAATCTTTACATTATGGTAACTTGGCGATTTTTTGCCGACCAACCCTGCTACAGCAACCTGCTAGTTTTTTTTTTTTTTGACGCCATTTTGTTTTCATGAAGTAAAGGCTTTTTTTTTTTTTTTTTTTTTTTTTTTACTCAACATTTTTTCCAACAATCTGCTAGCTGAATTACGCTTATGCTAGAACTTTTATGGAAGAAAAATGCTTAATCACGACCAAGATTAGGTGCGAAATTAGGAGAAAGTGCAGAATCGCAAACTCCTTGCCGCTTTCCTAAGAATCGCACATACACGGTATCCATGTACACGTCGACCTATTTTCACTTAAAAAAAAATCCCAGAATTGCACAAAATGGCATTGTGCACACTCTTGACTTTATCTATGTACACATCGACCTATTTCATAAAAGAAAATTGACAAAAATTCAATTCTTTTTACGCTTGTAAAAAGCACCAAACAAATAAGTGGGCGATTCTGCACTTTAGCAGCGAAATTGGGTACTTTTCCGTTTTGCCGGCGCAAGTGATAAAGTCGCCAATAATGGTACACCCGATGCCAAACGGAATATTCTTGCTGGTAACCTTTTACGCCACATTTTCAAAACAAGTCGCAGCTTTTTCTTATCAGATTGTTTCTTTCAATACTGGCATATAATTACATAGAATTTTTATCAGATAGTTCAGTTTTATGTTTAAGGCCATTTTCGCTAATTAAGTCAATTAGGATGCAATCACAGTGCTTACCCGAAGCCGAAAATATAGAAAAGATATCTGTATATCTAGTATATAAGTCAAGGGTTAAATTCATCAATTCTAATGAAATGCATTAGCGAAGTAAAGTAGTGCACTTTTACATAATTTATGAGTAAGCTATTCGTACGAATTGAAATACTTCTTGCATTTAAACTTGTGTTCCAAATTAAGATTTAACTTGAAATTAATGTAGATAATTACTGAAAGCATTTCATTTTTTTAGTTTACGTGAGATGAGAATGCTTGGGGTCACGTGATATGAATCAGGATGTTGAACCATGAAAGCATAGTAAATTCTTAAATTAATGTCTTTTTACAAATTTATTGTCTTTATTTATTGGCTTTTTATAAAATTTTAAGCGATATTAAAAATGTTTATGCCTTCAAAAAAGAATTCTTTATTGAACTAAAATTTTTTTAAAATATTTTTTATGTGTATACTGTATGATGTCGCCAATAAAGTCTGCTTGGCGAGATTTGCGCCGGCGAAACGGAAAAGTACCCGAAATTGTTTCTAAGAGCTTATTAGCTAAAATCACGATCGGAATTTTCTAGAAAATGTCACATTACATGTCTCATGATCTCTCATTTTTCTGAGACAAAATAATCTCTGATTCGAACTGTGTACTTCTCAGATTATTGCTAAAGTCCTAGCTAGTAACCTTTATCGCCTTACCAAAATGTCGCCAAGCTACCTGTTACCATATTCTAAAGATTAGCCACACTTTTTCGAAAATCTCTCTTAACCACACTTCCATCTTGATGATTTTCGAGTTCGCTTCGTACATCCAACGCCACGTAAAAATCAAAATATCATCCATACTCAAATGACTTTTTTCGGTACTATTCGGTTTTGAGGGCCGTAAAAAGTCGCCAAACTATTTTTGATGCCAATGCTGCCAAAAATAATTGCGGCAACCCTAATAATTGCGGCAAGAAAGGAGGTATAATAGTAAATAACTATCTAAAGATTGATGTTTTAATTTAGATGAAAGGTTAATTTCATATAATACTTTTTATTATTATAATTTATATGAAAAAGGCTAAACATTACTGAATGGAAGCATAAGAGTAAATAATTATTTCAGATCATTATTATGATTTATATAAAATTGTTAAAACATAACTGCTGCATCGCTATTTCGCTACCGACTTATCGCTAAAGCATAATTTCATCTCGTTGGTTGTTCAGACGTAATTTTCTATAATGAATGATGCTTTTTCTTTGAAAATATTCTCGGGTAAAGTGCAGAATCGCTCACTTATTTTTGTTTGCCGCTTTTTACAAGGGTAAAAACAATTGGATTTTTGTCAATTTTCTTTTACATTTTAAGTGAAAATAGGTCGATGTGTACATAGATAAAGCCAAGGGTGTGCGCAGTGCCATTTTTGTGCAATTCTGTGATTTTTTTTAAAGTGAAAATAGGTCGATGTGCACATTGATACCGAGTATGTGCAATTCTTAAAAACGCGTCAAACAGTGGATGATTCTGCACTTTACCCAAAATTCTATTTCCAACTTTTCGTCATGGGCAATTCCCAAATTGTTAAATCCATAGGATATTAAAAAAGGATTTAAAATCAAAAAACGATTAAAAAATTAAACTAGTATTTCAGTGGCGTCGTAAGAAATATAGAACTATATAAACTTACGCAATCTGAAATCAGCGCGTACGCTAGATTTGGAGCGCTGTTAAATGGGCGCGTTTGCTAGATTTGGCGCTCTTGTGCATACATTTTCGCTGCAATTTTTTACGGTCCTCGAAACGGAATAGTACCCTTTTTTCAAACCAGGTACCCCTTCTGATCGAACGCTTCACATAGTGACCATCTGAACCTTTCTTCTTACAAATCCATTCAAATCCATCTAAACGGCTTTTACGTTCGACTAGACGCATAGCCTTCCTACATACAGGACACTTATAATGGCTACTAAGTAAACCTTCATTTATACAGCACTCAATTAACGCTCTTTTCCTTTTTTGCTCCAAATTGTACAGAAACTTCAAATTAATCTTACTACATTCAGCCATTCTACCCTCTAAACAACAAAAACAAAACACATCACAAAAGCGCTTACAAAAACATCCCATGATTCAAAATTTCCCAGAATCATACACCCGATTACGCCACAATAGGGTTTCCATAACATTCAAGTACTCAGGCTACCATAAATGAAACAACAATTTGGCAATAAATGAAACAACAATTTCACCATAATACAAGGGGCACCTTAAAGTCTACTCTAACCAATAATGCTACATATTTAAACATAATTTGATTAGACTTTGTCTAAGCTACAATAATTAAAAAAAGACTGCAATTTAAAAACTTTTTATGACAGTCTTACATCTCAAAGGGTTCATTACCAAGTTTCCAAAAGTTTAAAAAATTAAAAAACATAAAATTTATTGATAAAAAAAATTGGGTAAAATCCTAGTATATGGTGCAGCCTTGGCGCGATTTTAAAAATTATCGCCAACACCAAAAATGATCCAAAGAACGTCTATATATATACTATACACTATATACTATGTGTGTATATACATAGTATATATACTATGTGTGTATATATAGTATATACTATGTATAACCATATATATTCTTTGAATGACCCGTTTACTATTCATCGTATATGTCGCGTTTTTACTGCTCATCTTAAAGTCGCCAAAAGCCAAATCCCGTGTGCACCGGATACTAGGATTAAACCAAAAATTACAATCAGATCTTCGTATACAGATTTCAGTTAAAAATGTGAAACAATTTTAAGAAGTTGAAATACTCTTACTAGTTTAAAAAAAAAATGAAAATTGTCCTGATAAAATTGAAAGGTACAGAAAAAAATATTAAATTTAAAATAGGCTATTAAAAGAGGGAATGATCATATTCTTTAATTGTTATCTTTAAGTAATTTATTTGCAATTATTTGTTTTATGATTATTTAGTACAGTGCACGTTACGGAGAAAAATGTAAGGGGATTTATGAAGAAAAAGCTGAGCATTCTTGATCTAGAACATAATGAAATACTGATAAATAAGGATTTAGTATTTTTCATACTTTTTTGCTATAGGGACTGATAACAGACACGTATGTATGTATGTGTGGATATATACAGGCTATTTCATAGATCATGGGACAAACTTGGAGGGGTGGTTGAGTGTACTAAAACATGCATTTTTTTTATATGAATGTAGGGTCTAAAGTGACAGGTTAAAGCAGGAATGCAAAAAACAACACGAGAGGAAAATGTGTTTATGTACAAAATCAACACGAAGTGCTTCTTTGCAGCAACACAGTATTCACAATAAATGTTCAAAAAAGGGAACGCTAGTAGTAATAGAAACTACAGCTGTAATTGGCTGGAAATGCAATGGTAGATGGGGATAGTGAGCCGGACAAACCACAATCCGATGCATCAGAGGATCATTCGCAACTCTGATGTCGAGTGTGATGGGTGAGTTTACGCACAGGGAAAAAGCTGACATGCATCTCATGTATGGTGCTGCTAATGGAAATGGCAGAGCAGACTACGGTTGTACCAGGAACGGTTTCCGAACAGACGTATGCAAATGCACACAATGTCCGAGAGGTTACATTGGTCTCTGTGTGAAAACGGGTCATTTGAAGCCACCTCTGACACTAGGAGTGGAAGAAGAAGTGCACAACAACCTCGCATCGAAGAATCCATCTTGAACATTGTGCATGAATCACCTCAGACAAGTACAAGAGCTATTGCACGTCGTCTGCAGGTGAGTCATTCCACCGTTTGGAGAGTACTGCCTGAAAATGGTTTGCACCCATACAATTTGCAGAGAGTCCAAGCCTTGCAAGAGACAGATTACCCTCTTTGAGTTCATTTCTGTCATCGGTTCTTGCAGCAGTGTGCAGTGCAGGCGGATTTTCCATCAGATGTGCATTCACGGACAAAGTAACTTTCTCACAGGACGGTATCTTCAATAGCCACAACATGCATGTGTGGGCAACACATAATCCACAAGGCACACGTCCACATGCATTCCAAATCCGCTTCTCCGTGAATGTGTGGGTGGGTATTGTTAACAACAACCTCAAAGGCCCATATCTCTTACCTGCACGTACAAATGGCTTATGTTATCATATTTTTCTGCAAGAGGTGCTACCGGAATTGCTGCAGGATCTTCCGGCTGTCGTTCGTGATCACATGTGGTTCCAACATGATGGTGCACCAGCCCATAACCACGTGCAGGTCCGCAATTATTTGGATGGGACATTTCCGGGCCTATGGATTGGCCGTAGTGGACCCGTTCAATGGTCACCCTATTCACCAGATTTATCCAGCTTGGATTTTTTTTATACGGCCATCTGAAGAGCATCATTTTCGAGACTCCCGCTGACTCACTGGAGGACCTCTTTCCACGACTATCCATTGCGGCTACAAGCGTGCACGAAATGCCTGTCATTTTTCAAAATGTTTGTCAGTCCCTTCTGCGACATTACCAAGCATGTATTACTGCTGGTGGTTGCAATTTTGAACATTTATTGTGAATAATTTGCGTTGATTTTGTACATAAACACATTTTCCTCTCGTGTCGTTTTTTTTGCGTTCCTGCCTTAAGCAGTCACTTAAGAGCCTACATTCCTATAAAAAAATGCATGTTTTAGTATGCTTCACCACACCTCCAAGTTTGTCTCATGATCTATGAAACACCCTGTATGTGTGTGCACGTACACACACACATACATACGTTTCTAATTCTTGTCCTGTCCACCAGCGGCCAAGCGATAGAAATGCTGAACACTGGTAGTTCGGTCCGAATCCCGCGAATCGGCTGGCTGCATGGGCATTTCCGTGGTTTTCCCCATGTGTAACGTGTATACGAGCCAGTTTCCCCTTAGAAAGTCCTCCACGAAAGCATCCCTTCCTTTAGTACATAGCCCTCGTGTGCTTTGCCATAATTAAATAATCCAATCCAATCCAATCCTGATTCTCATCCGGATAACAGAAAAGCACCAGTTTTTCTACTAATTGATTTACCTTCCTTAAAAATGTACGAGTCAAAAATGCCATAAACAGCCGACAATGCTATTATAATTTAAAACATAACATAACGTATAAATATATCTCTGCAGTTATCATCAACTAAATATTTCACCAAATTTAAATCCTTGACTAAAACTAATTAAAAAAGTAACAAAATTTAACAATCTGAAAAATTGGCAGTTTGAATTAATTATCGACAGTTAAGACTCTCATACATCGTGTTCTATTATGAAGATTAATAACTCAATGCACTAGCGATTCCCCGTCCTATCCTCATTTATCAAATTTAAGGCAATTTTTAGGAAGTGTTACATTGTAGTTGTGTGAATCATACGACTCATTATGCTTGCTATTAAAATTTAAAAAATGTATACGATATTGATTTTATCCACAGAAAAATATAATATATTCAACAGGATTTATTATTAAAAAATAAGAAATTATCGTTACCATGATTTCTGTCTTGAAGTCGATTTGAACTATATTTTAAATGCGTATGAGACGATAAAAATACAAGCAACTGTCCTAAAGTAACGAAGCAGAAGGAAAGCACCACTACACATTTACCAATCAACAAAATTTCGTTGATCAACATTTTCAGCCGATCTAAGATTATTACACATGTAAATAAACAAACGAAAAAATTTAAATCTTCATTACAGTTACAGTTAAAAAATAAACTCCGTGTCTAAGGATCATCCGGGTCCGCATTTTTGTGTTACACCATAAGATCTCCAACATCCGTCGCAGAGACAATAATAATGTTTATAATAACTTTGCATGGAAATGCTATCGGAAATGTTTACTTATATTTATATTTACTAAGTTCCTCTCCTGTCCATGCTGAAGTTTGGAATGCCAAAAGATATGCAGATGATTCAGGCCGTACGAAGTAGTTGATTTTTTTGGAACTCTTTGTGATTTTAATATAATATTTTTAATGTGTTTTAAAACTATTTGTCCCTCTTAGTGTGCTTTAAAACTCCTATTTTAAATTTTGTGTGCCTTTAAATATCTACGCACTAGTTAATAATATTGTATTAACTACTAGAAATAAAATAATAGTAATAAATTGCTAGATGAAAGGGCGTAATCTTTCGCTCTCATAAAGTTTGTGATATTTTTATTTATCACATCGATAGTTTAGTGAATTATTTTTCACGTGGAAAGTTTAATGAATATCCCGTAGAAAGAATTATGGATAAGGTTCGGAGAATAGCCTTAACGTTATGATTGTTATCCGATGACGTAGTTTTTTAGTCGTGGAATCTGTTCCGCGGGTTATCCAATAAGAATCTACTTTTTTCGCGGAATATTTTAACATGTTAGGAAATACCTTCGCGATATTTGTTTCTATTCTGGTAAAATCTGTTTGACAAAGGTAATATTCTTCACTTTATTCAATCTTTTTACATCACCTAAAAGACAAATGTTTTTAAAGTCTTAATATATTTCGTGTTATTTATTTTAATATTTAGATCATTGTAATCTTTAATTACCTGGTTTTTTATTTGGTTTCGTAAGTTTAATAAACTTATTTATACGATTATTTCTCCGTAATATAAAAATTTAATGGTTGGAACGTAAAAAAAAGAGCCCCCTCTTCTATTATAGTTAAAATTTTATTAATCATTAAGTTGTAAGAAGATCAGAAAACTTATCTTTATTAATTAATTATAAAATGTATACAATTTGATCAAAACACTTTTTCATTGTAATTAATAAGAATGTAATTTAATAAGAATTAAATTATAATATATATTGCATGCATGACTTTAGAAAGGAGAATTTATATTCTAAAATTTTATTAGATTGCTTATATTAAGCAAATGGTGAAAATTTTATTTTAGAACTATTAATTTTGTTACTGAATATTTCTTTTAAGTTACAAAAAAGGTGCACGGTACTATTCGGTTTCGAGGGCCGTAAAAAGTCGCCAAACTATTGTTGATGCCAATGCTGCCAAAAATAATTGCGGCAACCCTCATAATTGCGGCAAGAAAGGAGGCATAATAGTAAATAACTATCTAAAGATTGATGTTTTAATTTAGATGAAAGGTTAATTTCATATAATACTTTTTATTATTATAATTTATATGAAAAAGGCTAAACATTACTGAATGGAAGCATAAGAGTAAATAACTATTTCAAATCATTATTATGATTTATATAAAATTTGTTAAACATAACTACTACCTACTGCAAATCGCTATTTTCGCTACCGACTTATCGCTAAAGCATAATTTCATCTCGTTGGTTGTTCAGACGTAATTTTCTATAATGAATGATGCTTTTTCTTTGAAAATATTCTCGGTAAAGTGCAGAATCGCCCACTTATTTGTTTGCCGCTTTTTACAAGGGTAAAAACAATTGGATTTTTGTCAATTTTCTTTTACTTTTTAAGTGAAAATAGGTCGATGTGTACATAGATAAAGCCAAGGCTGTGTGCAGTGCCATTTTTGTGCAATTCTGTGATTTTTTTAAAGTGAAAATAGGTCGATGTGCACATTGATACCGAGTATTGCAATTCTTAAAAATGCGTCAAACAGTGGGTGATTCTGCACTTTACCCAAAATTCTATTTCCAACTTTTCGTCATGGGCAATTCCCAAATTGTTAAATCCATAGGATATTAAAAAAGGATTTAAAATCAAAAAAGGATTAAAAAATTAAACTAGTATTTCAGTGGCGTCGTAAGAAATATAGAACTATATAAACTTACGCAATCTGAAATCAGCACGTACGCTAGATTTGGTGCGCTGTTAAATGGGCGCATTTGCTAGATTTGGCGCTTTTGCGCATACATTTTCGCTGCAATTTTTTACGGTCCTCGAAAGGGAATAGTACCAGGTGCACATGTATTTCTTACAAATGAATGCTTTCTTTTTGGCTATTCATGTATTATTTTTTCTGGCTAATCTTTGGAATATGGTAACAGGTAGTTTGGCGACATTTTGGTAAGTCGATAAAGGTTACTAGCTAGGACTTTAGCAGTGTACATGGATAAAGTCAAGAGTGTTCGCAATGCCGTTTTTGTGCAATTCTGGGATTTTTTTTTTTTTTTAAGTGAAAATAAGTCGACGTGTACATGGATACCGTGTATGTGCAAATCTTAAAAATGCGGCAAGCAGTGGGCGATTCTGCACTTTCTCCCAATTTCGTATCTAATCTTCGTCATGATTAAGCACTTTTGTTCCATAAAAGTTCTAGCATAAGCGTAATTCGGCTAGCAGATTGTTGGAAAAAAATGTTGAGGAAAAAAAAAACATGCCTTTACTTCGTGAAAACAAAATGTTGTCCAAAACAAAACTAGCAGGTTGCTGTAGCAGGGTTGGTCGCCAAATTTTAGCCAAAAAATCGCCAAGTTACCATAATCCAAAGATTAACCTTTTTTTTATTGCAGTGGCTCTGGAGGTTATTACTTAATTTTTGGTGGCTTCCAGAAGCTTTTGTTATAAAGTCAATAATACGTTTATAACTGTTACAAAGATTAAATTATTAATGTTTATACACATTTAACTATTATTATTTCATCATTAAATTATTTTCCCCCTCTTATTCCTGAGTATGAAATTGGGCCACATTAATTCATTCTAATATACAGGGTGACCCATAAATCTCTACGCATTAATATATCATACATATTCAGTGTACTCTGTGCTGTTCATATTATCGGATGCCAATTTCTCTACATGGCAGGGTTTCCTATACATATATTATTCAATTATGCCAGTGTGTGCTATAAATTTTGTTTCTGTTCTTTTCAAGATAATGGCTGATTCAAGCCCATTGGTAACTTAAGAGTATATTGTGACTTTGTAACTGTTAGTTTTCAGATAATAACTGATAGAAGCCGATACAGAACTGAAGAGTATATATGAATGAGTAGGAACTTATGGGCCACCCTGTATAGTAAAAAAAAAAAAAATTAGATGTTATTTTACCAGTTAATCTTTGGATTGTGGTAACTTGGCGAACATTTGGCGACCAACCCTGCTACAGCAATCTGCTAGTTTTTTTAAGATGCCATTTTGATTTCACGTAGTAAAGGCATTTTTTTTTTTTTTTTTTAAAACTCAACATTTTTTTTCCAACAATCTGCTAGCCGAATTACGCTTATGCTAGAACTTTTATGGAACAAAAGAGCTTAATCACGATGAAGATGATGTGCAAAATTGGGAGAAATAGCAGAATCGCCCACTGCTTGCCGCGTTTTTAAGAATTGCACATACAGGGTATCATCCATGTACATGTCGACTTATTTTCACTTAAAAAAAAAAAAAAATCCCAGAATTGCACAAAAAAGGCATTGCGCACACTCTTCACTTTATCCATGTACACTGCTAAAGTCCTAGCTAGTAACCTTTATCGCCTTATCAAAATGTCGCCAAACTACCTGTTACCACATTCCAAAGATTAGCCGCTAATTCTAATTCACTTAAAAAATAATTCACATTCTTTAAAATTTTTGAATGGCTCCATAAGTAGGCAGTAAAAGCTTTTACAGGCTGATCTGTATCTTACAAGATATTCTGGATCAAGGTTGACTGCAAGTGTAGTCTATGTTAGGCACAATTTTCAGGGTACTGACTAAATTTTCCTTAAGAGTGATGAGCTAAATAAAAGTATATTTTGTTTTGATTATTACAGTGTTTATTTTGTATGGGTTGTCAACGGTATTCTTTGCCTAGAGCAGTGGTTAATAAAAAATGACAAGTCGAAATTTTCAGTTAAAAGGCTAGTATACAATATGAGACAGAAACTGAAGTAAATGAAAAGGGATAATTATGCAAGGCATCATTTTTTATCACAAAAATCAAATATTCAAGAAGTTTATTGGGAGTTATGAAATATTATAAAATTTGTCTCTGCAGTATGCATTTATACTAAGGCAGTTGTTCTGATTGGTATAGTGGTTAGCACTGCTGACCAATGGCTGGGCCTCGATTTGAATCCCAGAAAAGGCTTGAATATTTTTTAATGTATAGTGTCTTTACGGCATGGGGGCACTTAAAATACATGGTGAGCTGAAAGTCCTCTTAATTCCTTGTCCGAACTGTTGAGAAATGTCTGGCAGTTAGAAGCTTTGGGAATTTCTAATAAATCTGATGACAGTCATAGCTTAGAAGATGATGTTACATTTAGAAAATTTTGAGAATCCATAAAATTTGAGGACAACAGATATACAGCTTGCTTGCTGTGAAGACCATATAGGGAAATTGCAGGATAATTTTGAGGTTATAGTAGAATGCTTTGAGTAGCTGTGGCACAAATTTAAAAATCCAAATATTATTAAGTTTCATGACTATTACAAAGTTGTGATGCATGAACATTTACAAGAAGGTATCACGGAAGAATTGAAATATTTAAAATCTGAAAAAAAGTACTTTTTACCACATCAAGTTATAATTAGAGAAAACAAAGACCCCACAAAACTTAGTGTTGTCTTTGATGCATCATCACATGCTGAAGGCAAACTGTTATTGAATGATTGTTTAGAATAATCTTTGCATTTGAAATCAATTCCCATACTTTTAAAATGATATAAATATGGATTTGTGACTTTTGGAAAATCTAAAGGCAGCTCTCAAATTTTCCTTAATTCCAGTATGTCACTCTTACTGACATTAAATGTGGTCCTATATAGGAGAGAAACATATATTGAGTTTTTTTTACATAACGTAAGATTCTTTACCACCAGTTACTTCAGTTAGTTTTAGTTCAAATCTTTGATGTCATAATTGACTTTTCCTTAAATGCAGTTCTTTTCTCATCATTTTATTTTTAATGTGTTGAATTAGTTTCACTTTTATTGCCCTTCAGCAAGTATTTCTAATCAAGCATATCAATCTCGGGTTTTATTATATCACAAAGACTACAAGTGTCTTTTCTTGGGTAAATTAAAAATATCTTTGACTTTATCATACAACACTGGATTGTATGTTGTGTAATTTTGTATTGTTTAACTCTTCCAGCAAGAATACTTTTTTACTCTTTTTTTAGGGAATAATGGGGCTTTCTTCCTTTAATGGAACTGATAAACTCACTTATTTTAGAAGTAGTTTCCTCAGAAATTGCATGTTTTAATTTTGCATAATTTCCTGTGTGGTCTAATGGTGATTTTGCATTAACTTCTCTTATTTTTTTAAACAGATTTTTTTTTTTTTTTTTGTGATGCTGTGGTATGAAGCAAAGGTAGTTATACAAACTTGTACATAATTACACAGCCCATCTTGAGAACAATTTAATTACTTGATAAGAATAAGATGCATTATGTGAAGATCCCTCATTTCTCAAGTCAGAATATTGTTGCATCACAGTCAAAAGCATTACAAGATCGTTGCCATGATTATTTGGGTATCATAATTCCTAAGTTCAAAGCTTTGCAAATTTGTTGTCTTCCATTGTCATAAATCAAAGAACATTAAAAATTTTTGCACTTACAGTCAGATCCTAATTCACATGTGGATACTCTTAAAAATTTCATAACATCATGGAGTTCTGTTTTCTTCCACTCGGCAGGAAACTTGGCCACTTAATTGAAGCCTGCACTGGAATCTTCAATTTCCATGTTCACAAGCCCTACTAAAAAACTGATGGATGAAAAACCAACAAATTATCATTACAAGAAAACAAGAGCAAGCATGAATTAGTCATATAAAAGAAGTTAAGACTTAAATGCTTCTCATCTTGGCACATGGACAAAAATTGTTTGTTTTCCAGTCTGCAAAATCTTTCCTCGATTCAAGTTATGGACATGAATGCTTTTTCTCCTGAAGGGAGTCATAATTTTAAAGCTGTTCCCATTTCCCGCTCGATGGCTTTATTATTTCAATTTTCATAAAAAGTAAACATAAATGGTTTCCCGTAGGTTTTTAGTTGTATCTAAATATATATTATGTAAAAATGCTTAATTCATAGTTGCTATACAAAATTATATCAAAAGGTTATTATTATGTTATAAAAATTTTATTATATGATTTTGTTCCATTTCAAGATTTACCTGAAATGTTCGTTAATCTTAGTGAAGTTTAGAATTTCCAAAAATTTTTGTTAATAACATGAACTAATATTTTTCCATGTTTTTTTTAAGATGGAGTCATTTAATCAAGTTAATGGATATCATCCTGATAGTCATTCCATTCAATATCAGATAAGAGAACAAAGTAATGCAAAGGAGGATGTTGGTGGAAATCAAGGAAATTGTAGCACAGAAAATGAAAATAATGTTATTGGAACAATGCAGGAAATTCAGATTTGTAGCATAAATAAAAAAAGTAATGTTGATCAAAATTGCATTTCTAGAAATGTGCAAGTGGCACATAGGTTTAATTGGAACAGCTGCATTTCTAGAAATATAGAAATGACAGATTGGTTTAGTCAGAAGTCTGAGTCTTCCAATTTATTACTATACACTTGGCCAAAACCACATCCTCCATCTGCCATTAATAAACCTTCTAACTGTTCTTCAGATTGTACCAAACTGAGGCAAAAGCTTTTAGATATAAGAAATAAAGAATATGGTATGTATTTTTCTCTTTTTGGTTCAAATTTTTACTTTGTAGATAATTTCTATAAATTTAGCTTATAATTTTTAGTTTTACTCATTTAATGTTCAATATTTCCTTGCACATCTAAGCTATGCATGAAAAAGATGACTGTTTTAATAATTTTGGAAAAGAAATTTTTCAAATTGTGTGTTTTCTAATGTGAATTTCATTTTTTATACATTCAACTATCTGAAATTTTCTTGTATCTGGAATTTAGCATTGCTCAAGCTTTCCATATAGTCAAGTTTTAACTGTATATATACACACTTAAAAAAGCATTACATTATGATCATCCTGTTAATAACATGTAGTGATTTAAATGCTCTCAAAATTGCCAGCACCTGACATGGGGCATTGACCCCGAAAGGTGCTAATACATAGTCTGAGGTAAGTGAGTATCTGAGGTATCCGAGTGATCACTAACTGGTCTTGCAATTCACGCACATTGCTATGGGATAGTGTGGCAGCATGAATTTGGTTTTCCAGGCGGGACCACAGATGCTCTACTGGATTTGTGTCAGGGGAATATGGAGGCCAAGACATGATTTGAAAGTCACTGGAATGTTCCTCGAACCAGTCTCTAATGAATTGACCCTTATGACATGGTGCATTATTTTGTTAGTAATCACCATTCCTTGCTGAAAATGATGTTGTCGTGAATGGATGAACCAGGTCTGCAACAATGATCACGTAGCGCTCAGATGTCGGGGATTGTTCCATGGGGATTATAGGTCCTAATGTGCTCCATGAAAACATTGCCCACACTGTAATACCTGCGCCACCGGCTTGTCTCCGTTCAACTGGGCATCAGGAAGCCAGAGTTTTGTTTGGAAATCGGCACACCCGAGTCGATGTGATGGACCAGAAAACGTGATTCGTCGGACCATGCAACTTGCTTCTAATGTCCAATTCCGATGTTTCTTTTCCCATTGCAGATGCAACTGGCAATGATATGCCATCAGTGCAGAGACATGCTTCGGTCTGTACACTGCACAGTGTGTTGAGTGTAGCTGGTAGTGATTTTGGCTGTTGTAGCTCTTCGGTCACAGTGAACAATGTGTAGCAATCTCCGCTCTCCTCTGGAATCAATGCACCATTAATGACACACTGCTGGCCAGTGATTTATCGTTTCACCGCCAATCCACTACTTTCAGTATATGCTCACAGCTGTACATGAACAGACCACTAAATGCACTGTTTCTGATATTGATGTTGTCAGCCGCCGAAGCATAATGATTTGACCTTTATCAAAGTTTGATAAATCAACTACTTTTCCCAATATGTCGCTAATTTCACTATGCTTGGAAAGACAATGCATAGGCACTTTATATACTCCAACATCAGTCACACACATGTGGTGGTTTTGTTCCTGGACGAGCCCATGGACAGTGGTCATAATGTAATGCCGCTTTGGTGTATGTTTTACACAATTATTTGGGTATTTTAGATGGCTATTATCCTTTTTAGTCCAAAGGGGCTTTATCCCTGAAGGACTATTGGGTACTTTTCCGTTTCGCTGGCGGAAATCTCGCCAAGCATACTTTATTGGCGACAACACAGAGTACACATAAACAACGTTAAGAAATGTTAGTTTTAAGAAATTTTTATTTTTAAAGCATAAACATTTTAATATCGTTTAAAATTTTGTAAAAAGACAATAAATAAAGACAATAAATTTGTAAAAAAGACACAATTTTAAGAATTTACTATGCTTTCATGTACAACATACTGATTCGCTGTTTCATATCACGTGACTCCAAGTGATCTCATTTCACGTAAACTACGCTACAAAAATCTAATTGTCTCTGTAATTATTTACATTAATTTCACGCTAAATCTTAATTTGGAATACAAGTTTAAATACAAGAATTATTTCAATCTGTACAAATAGCTTACTCAGAAATTGTGTAAACCGCAGTGCTTTTACTTCGCTAGTGCATTCTCATTAGAATGGATGAATTTAACCCTTGACTTTGCCTTTTCTATATTTTCGCTTTCGGGTGAGCGGTGTGATTGCATTCTAATTGACTTAATTACTGCGAATGGCCTTAGAGCATGAAATTGAACTAGCTGGTAAAACTTCTATGTAATTATATGCCAGTTTTGAGAGAAACAATCAATCTGATAAGAAACGGCTGCGATTTGTTTTAAAAACGAGGCGTAAAAGGTTACCAGCGAGGATATTTCGTTTGGCATCTGTAGTATCATTTTTGGCGACTTTATCGCTTGCGCCGGCAGAATGGAAAAGTACTGACTATTGTTTTCATTTTGAAATTTTGCTTTGGAACCCTATAAATGGCGTATCACTTTCCAAATTGTTGCCACAAAATACTATTTCCCTGTATTATATGGTCAAAAGTCGTTAATCCGGACTCGTCAGGACTTCGGCGATTCCGGATTATCGATTTTTCCGGATTATAGATCATCAGTTTAAATCTGGTAAGATGGCATGCAGAAATTACAAAATTAAAAATATGAAACCGTAATTTATGAAATAAAGAACAATTATGATCTAAGGGTATCAAAATTTTACAAAAAAAAAAAAGCTTAATATTATTTGTTTACTTTATTAAACATTTCTTTCATGTAAGTTGTTTAAATTGCTTCGTTTTTTATGTGATAATACATTCTCTTTAATTCTATAAACAGACATAATTTCTGTTCAGTTACAAGTTCCGCTGTTCAAGGCCTATATTGCTGTGTCTACCGACTAATTTGTCAATCAAAATTTTTTCGTTTTCAATAACCTCTGTCACTTTCTTCGCTATCGGAAGCGAATTATAATGACGAGGAATTTGATTTAAATCATATCAAAGACGGAGTACGTCGAGATGAAATACATTTAGTAAGGAATTATAAGCCAAATAAAATAAAAACATCTGCCCTGAAGATAAGGATAGTGCTGACAGATCAACTTCCAATTCATTGCGCGCCGCCGCCGCATTAAAGATAAACAAAGTTTAGATAAACAAACATTAAAGTTTAGATAAACAAAGGATATGCCTTTATCCATTTTTTTGCAGCAATTCCACTTTTTGTTTAATGAACTTCGAAACATACTTTCACTTTGTAGATCCTTTACATATTAATAAATATATATCAGAAATTCTATTTGACATAATCGAAAGTTCAAGCTTACTTTTATAAAATTGCTCTAACAGTCTGCAAAAAATAATAAGCGGGATCCAATTCGAAGATTAAGGAACAACGTAATCTGCAACATTAACTGAACTAGATAATTAGATAATTTTAGCTTAGCTTATACTGTCCATTGTACATTAAATGTGCACTCGCATATTCGCAGCCGTAAAGGTCTTATGCGCATTCATCAACGCGACGCATGCGCAGAAAGTTTGTAGCTTTGAGATCCGGATTATAGATCATTCCGGATTATGGGTGTCCGAATTAACGACTTTTGACTGTATTTGAAGAAATTAAGTAATGAAGTATCTGAAGTATGTATGTTTCTCGCATTATGATAAAACGGTAGCTAGAACCATCCAATCTTTAATGACATAATCGTACTGCGAATATGGGCATCTGGAAGCGCAAATTTGAAATTTGGAATTTGTTTTATTATCGATTTTATATTTGATAAAACTTTAACAAATTTTTGATTAACAAACTCAATGATTTAAAAGCTAGCAATGGCAACACTCTAGGGGGAGACCTTTTTATCTCCAGCATGTGGAACTGTGTATCGTAAATTCTAAAGATATGCTCATTTTAAAATTATTTTGCGATATTGCTGTTAAATTGAATTTTAAGGTTTAAGTGCAAAGAACATATTTAACAAATAAAGGTAACACACAAAATGTTAAAAAAAGCTCCTTTGTACGTAATTTAAAATCTGAAACCTTTCAGCTTTTTTTATTTATTATTTTAATTATTAAAATTGTTCAAAGCCACTGATAACACTTCTCAATCAGATGAAATGGTGAAGTGGTTAAAGTGTATTCTTGGCAGACATTTTTAATTTATTGTCTTTACTGCACCAAAAGCTAAAAACAGACCTTTTCCTACAGTTTGAATTCTTCTGTTTTGCGTTGCCAGTTTTGAAAACTTAGTAACATTTTGGCTACTTTAAAATCAAAAATTCGTCTAAAAAATTTTTTGATTTGGTGATTCGTAGACAAATATTTTTAACAAATAAGACAACTTGAGGAATTAAAGCAACAAGAATGAGTGTAATATTCATAAATTTGAAGAATTAGTTTTAAAGGTTTAAATCAGCATTATTTATGAATATTTGTAAATTAAGTTGACTTAAACATTTTATTTTTCATCAGTGCAATTTATGAATATTATGATGATCTGTGTTGCTTCTCCAACAATGATTATTTAGTGGATTATTTTAACTTAAATAAGATGTTATTGTGATAACCTTAAAATAACAATAGTTTATTAAAATTATATTTTTTCAAGGATATTTTGACAGGCTTTTAAGGTTAGGGTTGCCTTGTTGTTACAAACAGATCACTACATAATTGCACCAAGTCTTTTGAGGGAAAAAGGACTGGATTCATCTCCAGATGTGTAATATTTATTTCATAGAGGAAAATGCAGAGAATGACGGCTGTTCATTAGCCTCTACTTTTGATAGCTTAAATCAATTGTACCGTGACACCTCTAATCATATTTTTGAAAAAATCAATTATACATAACTTATTTTGTTTGCGTGTAGTTCTGGAAATGAAAACTTTTGTACTGTTTTCTGCAAGCAAATGATGTTTTTCTCTTGATTAATTACAATATATTGTTGCTACTTTCTCAAATTTCACATGTACAAATTTCAAAAACATTTTATCTTATAAACTGGATGCAAGAAAAACTTCTTGTCATTACAAAAAAATTATTATAACAACACCAACTGTTCTTTACTTCTGCTTTCCAATTTATAAAAAACTGCAGTACTTCTAGTTTCTTTTCTTATTGCCTTGCAAAAGTCTGTGATGTATAATTTATAAAAATTAATACTTAGTTCATGCATTATGTAAAATATGCCATTTGTCTTATGTTAATCAGTATTCCCTTTATGAATATCTTATTTATTTTTTCTGATGAAATTGCTACATACAATACTAATAGTTTTATTTAAATTTCTGGTTAAGTTTATAGTTTTCCTCTAAAGAAAAATTTTATTCAAACTGTATATCGGTAAATTTTAGACAGTAGAAAATACCTTTTTTCTTATTATACTTTTTCATATGTTCAATATAACTTTTGTTAATAGGAATTAATATTTTTCCTCTTATAAGTGCTATTTTAATTCTGTTTCTTGATTTTGATGCTTTAAGTAATAATTGAGTTATTGATAACTCAAAATGCATTATTTATTTTTTTCACAACACTAAAAACCATAGAAACAAAATATAATTGTTTATTACTCTTATTTATTTTATATATTAAATTAAGTTTTACATTCTGTTTATTAAAATTTATAGCTTTATCAGATAAGTACTTGAATCTTGAAATATTGTATGGAAAAAAGTGTGAGGAACTCGTACAACAAAAACAAGAAGAATTTAAACAGAGAGGACTTGCTGAGGCTAAAATTCAAGCTCTGATGTCAGCAAAGGAATTTCTAGAAGGTAATTTCTACAAGTATTTCATTAACTTTTCTAAAAAATTTCAGTTTTTTCGTTGATGTTTATATTTTTAAAGTTTTAAATTAAGAAATTAAAAAAGAGTTTTTCTTATTTAAAGCAGTAGCAGGTCTGGTAATTTTCATAATATATTTAATAATGTATATTTTTTGGTACATATGCATTAACCCATCAACTATGGAAGCTGAGTACCATAGAACCATGAATATCGGCAGAGATTCCACCAAGTTGCGCCAGTCTTTCTTGTAGAATTCTGAAGGAACTCACGGCTCATAGTAAATAATTAGAGTAGCTTGAGTTAGGCGTTATCCCATCAACCATGAAATTTGGCCAACACCAAACCGTGAAAGTTGACAGAGATCCTGCCAAAGTTACTTGAATCATTCCTGTGTAATTCTGAAAAAACCGGCATCTTTTTATTTAATAAACACTTAGTATTTAACCTGCTCCATTTCTGTGTTTTTTTTTTTAAAGGTTCATATTTATTTCTACTATTTTTCTAATCCTTCCAATTTTAGAGGAAGTTATAAGTAAAACACTTCCTGCAAGTAGTTTTTCCAATATGTTTCTCTTTTGTAGGCCTTATTTAACTAACTGCATAATCCCCACCAACACATATTTTTTTTTTTATGGTAGGATCCCTAACTTTTAAAATTAACCACTACTTGCTGTTCTGTAGAAAGCAGGTATCACATTTTTATCACTTTTCTTTCAAAATGCAAGGAAAAGTCCATTAGTAACAGCTTATTCATAAAAACAGAAAGTGGTTTATTGAAAATCAATCGTTGTTACATCAAACAAAAATTCAGATGTTATGAGTGTGTTGTGACTGCACACTTATCCGTAACTTGTGCTAAATTATGCCGCTTGGCAACAGTTTCATGGTCAGTGGGATATGCCCATTTTTTTTAACTTAATGAGTATTATATATTGCTGCATCATAAAAGTACTACATTAATAATTAAAAATAACAAATAACAAGTATGTGGTCATCTGAATGTACTGTTTTAAATAAAATCCTTTCAGAAATAAAGCTGTGTTGATTTCTCTCTTACATCATTATAAAAATAATCAAATTTAGCTGTAAAAATGAGAAAAGGAATTGAAAAATGTTTTTTCAATAAGATACATTTATCTGATCCAACCCTAAATTTAACAATTATTTTTCAATCCAATAAAAGTATATTTGTTCTATAAAAATAACCTACACAAATGATAGTAAATACAAACTGAGACAAATCAAAACCAATTGATTTTATAACTTTGAACTTTTTATAAACTTGTTGAAACAGAAACAAAAGTTTAGGTTAAATTACCGTATAATCCAGTATATAACACACACTTTCAATACAAAAAATAAGATCAAAATTTACAGCCAGGTTAAGATTTCTATGTTATCTTATAACATCAAAAGTTCGTCACATTCTCATCCGTTATATCTTCAAGCAAATTCTGTTTCATCTTCACCATCACTGTTACTATGATTCATAAGTAATCATCATCCTTTCCATCTAGATTGTAGATATACTGCATTTTTTAAAATAACTCTTGAGTTATGTTTGGTTTAATTTCAGACCATGCTTTGATTATCCATTCACACGGTATTTCTAGACTGGCATGAAGCATTTGACCTCCTTTTGTGTATGTTTTTTCACCTTCTAACATCCTTGTATTCCGCTGTCACTTTAAATTTTCTTTGAATGGTTTATTGATACACACGTCTAAAAATTGAGCTAATGGCATTAATTTTCCTGTGTGTTTCCCGCATCATCTGAACATGTTCTAAACTAAAAGACTTTCTGGATTCTTAAAGACAACAAGATGCTTTTGTCAAACATTGTTTAACAAAAGCATCCTTTTTTTTATCCACAGTTTCACATTCTTTTCATCCATTGGTCCTTTCTCATGAACATGAATGAAAACACCATTTGGAAACTACATTTTGGCATCATTTTTTGTTTAAAAATAATCATAAGTCTTAGTTTTGTACCATCCGCTAAGCAAGAAAGCACTTTGAGGTGAGATTTTTCATGACCTGTTCTCATGTGAACCATTTTTGTACCCTTTCACATCAATTCTTTTCTTTCCTAGTATCATATCAAATATTACTGAGTTCCATTTATAGTTCCAGTATCTGGCAGTAAATAAATCTTTTGCCTTCGTAGATCAATAATATACTTCTGGAAATTTGTTTGAGCATTGCTGCATGAGTCATTACTCAAATTATCATATGTTAATAAACATGCAGTGATGAAAGCAAAATAGAATAAATAATGATTTGCCAGGTTGGTAAACAATGTTTCTATCTAGAATGTTACGATTTGAAATGTATGTGAAACGCAGCTACAGGGTCAAATTGTTGATCGTGAAAATTTATACTAAATTATTGTTTCTTCAATAACAAGGTATTTATTTAGTGCCGAAGGGAAATTAAGAATCAGGATTCTTCACATGTTTTATTTATGGGGAAAAAATCAAATGCCCATGCATTAAAAAAAATGTTGTTGGCGGGTTTGAAATCCGGATATTTAACGTCCGAATCTCGGACTTTGTACTGTATTATAATTTCAGATTTCCTCTCCACCCCCCCAAAAAAAAATGGAGAAAGAAAGCAAACTTCTCTGCTGAATTTTCTTCTAGTTAAAAAAAAAAAAAAAAAAAAAAAAAAAAAACCTGAAGCCAAAGTAATTGAGAATAGTGGTGAGGATGACCATAGTAGCTTCTTACTGGTAGTAGTTAGCTATGTCTCGATGATGGATAATGGCATACCTAATTTCAGTTATTGTGGTAATCACAATGCCATAAGTTATGATTCTCATAAACAATGAGAATAATGAGGAAAGTTTGTTGCACCCTCAGAATGTTTCAGTTATGAGTACGAAATTTCTGAGTACCTATCAAATAACATTTTTTAAGTAAAAAGTTATTCAGAAAATCCCTGGCTGGCATGTTCTAAAGTAGAAGATGCAGCATACTGCAAATACTGTGTGTTTTTTGGTATGCATTATTTTGGATGCACACCTTCACAGCTTGTGGGTATTCAGTGCAAGAAGGATTTAAGAAATTGAAATATGCATTAGAATATTTCAGTTACCATAACACCTTGGAGTATCACGAAAATTCGTTTTAAATTACACTAACTCGGGGTAAATACTTAACAATGAACAAAAATCTATGAATAACTTAACGTCTAAAAATTAAGAAAATTTCAGAGCTATCTTAAGATTTGCCTTTCAGTCTGGTGAAGATTGCTAAAACTGGTAATTAATAAATGTATTCATAATTAGAGATGGCAGAGAAAAGTCTAATTTATTTAATGAATACAGAATGCATAAAACATCTTAATTTTCCACAAATGTTTTTATAATTTAGTACACTAATGTGAAATATAAGATATTTTGTAATTTTTCTTGACTGATGTTTCATTCTCATGACAAATAAATACTGAGTAAATTATAATGAGCAATATGTGTGATTTTTCATGTTAGGCATTTGTTTTTATAAGCAGGCAGTAAATGAAAGGAATTCTCTTGTATTTAACAAATTTGATAAAATCATGCTGGTTTCATATGATGTACTTTAATTCATGTGTGCAAGTTAAATAGTAACAGTATCTTTCTTTTTTTAGTTGAGAGACGTAAATTGAGTTCTCGTCTGCAAGTTGCTGATAGATTAGTAACAAACATAAGACGTGAAAACAATATTCTTCGAGAAAGACTGAAAACTATTGCACCACAAAAGTCTAGAAATGAAGAAAATCAGTTTGTAAGTATGCAACTGCAAAAATATATTTAATACAATTGTAGTAATTCAAACATAAATTCTCTTTATGTTTGAATTAGTCTCTTAAAAGTAAGACTGTAGCTTAAGAACCTAAAAATGAGTTTGAATGGCAGTCACATTTATATGATTACTGAGCATTCATTTTAATAAATTTTCCTGTTGGGGGGATTGAACTTTTATTTCTTCTCACTTTTTTTTTAAGGGAAATTTTCTTTATTGAAATATATTTTAGGTAGTTCTTCACAATGAAATTTTAAAAATATACAGAGATTAAATAATACTTTTATAGTTAATTTTATGAAGATTAACTAATGCCACCTATTATTGACAGTAACTTTAAAAAAGTATGATAGTTTGTAGACTCTTATAATAAAAATCCTATGTACTTTTTATCCCACTGACTATAAAAGTTAGCTACTTTGAACCGGAAAAGTTAACAGAGATCCCACCAAAGTAATGCCATTTGTTACTGTGAGATTTTGTGCCACACTTCTATCTACAACTCTTTTTACAAACTGTTTAAAATTGTTGTTTCTGTATAAAATATTCGTCAGTTTCTCTGCAAAATCCACTGAATAATAGTTGCTGCAGAAATAAAAGTTTCAACTTTTATTTCTGCAGCAACTATTATTAAGAAACTGCAGCAACTATTATTAACTAAAGCAAGAAATAAATTTATGTTTGAATGAAGATAAGTTTTTTGTGGAACTATTTCTATACAAACGCAATTCACTGAAGCCAAAATATGTTTGTTTTTAAGTTACGGAATCATAGCTTATTATTGATTTGTTATATCCCATTTTACAAAAAGAGTGGAAATTTTGGGTTCTTAGGAAGTAATTAGACCAGAAATTTTATACTTAAGGTGGAATTGTTGAATTCCTAGGGAATACAGAAAAGGTTATTGTTAATTCCTTAAAAAACCTAGTTTCTTTTTTCATGAAATTGTTGGAAATTAGAGGAAACTAACAAGGAAATATTTGTTAGAAATAAACAGGAAATTATTTTAGCTAAAACTTTTGAGAAGATTGGATTTTTTGGCTGAAGAAGTATTGTAATGATTAAAGGATTATAAGAAATACTGAAATGATTAAAAAAAAGAAATTATTGTTGACCATCATAACCCTTTTTTTTTAATTAAAAAATGTAGCAATATAAAGCCTATTCCAAAATGCATTGGCTGGGAATAGAGCAGACATTTAAAAAATGTTTCTTTTAAAAGAACTAGTAAACTGGACCAGTTTTTCTTTGAAAAATGGAAATGTTAAAAAAATGTATAATGAAACTGTGATCAAAATTCATTTTTAGCTTAATTTGAGTCAGAGAATGGAAAACATTTTTTAAAGACCAAAACTCTAAATTTAGATTCAACTGTAATTTAGTATCATTTAATGAATTTTAATTACATAATTTAGTTATTATTTAATAAATATGTTATTAACTATGGAAGAAATGTCTATAGTGATAATGTGTGAAACATTAATAAAATTAATGGCTTAAAGCATGATTATTATTTCAGACTCAAGTACAACAATTTCAGAGTAATCAAACTGATCTTAAAGCACACAGCAAGCAAATGAACTAAAAGAGTTTTGTTCTTATTTATTAAAGCAACGTGATCATTTAGTACAAGATTTTGAATTTCAACATGAGAAAAAAGTTAATCATTTGAAGAAAGAAATGGACGAGCTGCAGAGATTATTAAATTCCAAAGTAAGTAAATTTTTCGAGGATAAGAACTTTGATTTATGGTCAATTAAAAGGAAGCGTAACTGAAATTGTACATTTTTACATGCGCAATGCAAGTATGAATCAGAAATGTATATGCATAAAATATTTTCAGTATGTGTGCATGTTTAGTATGTATCAGAAATTATTTTAATGTTAACATTTATGCAGTCATGTTTCTGAATTTTAAGTTCCAATAAGCTTTTATTATTATTTGCATATTAAGAAATAAACTTATTATTAGTTATAAAACAGTGTCAGATAAGAATTAATCATGAAAAAGCAGACTTCACTGCAATTCTGATTTTGAGAACAAATATGCATCCATGATTCAGATTTTTTTTTTTTTTTTTTTTTTTTTTTGTATTCTGACTATCATTTTGAAATAAAGATTGTCTCTTTTTTCCAAATTTCATCACTTTCTGACCACTTCTTCTTGGTGTTGCATTTTCAATGTCGAGCAGTGTATATCCTAGTTCTCTCATTAGTGAAATTGGAGCAAAATGGATAAGACACAAAGTTTTGCAGCATCAATATCATCCTGATAAACCAATAGCAAACTGCAGCATAAGCAGTCTCAGTTACAGTGTGTTATTTTAGCTAGGACTTTTGAGAACATTGGATTTTCGGCTGAAGAAGTATTGTAATGATTAAAGGATTATAAGAAATACTGAAATGATTAAAAAAAGAAATTATTGTTGACCATCATAACCTTTTTTTAAAATTGTAAAAAAAAATTTAAAAAAAAAATGTAGCAATATAAAGCCTATTCCAAAATGCATTGGCTGTGGTTTTTATAAGGAAACTTGAATTTCATCATTGCCTTTAAAACTGTACCCGTAATGATGGGTCTGAGTACTAGAGTCTAGGTAATATAATTTTTCCTTGTTATTTCATTTCTTGAAAATTAAGTTAAAATATTAAATTTTCAAAAGCATACAGAGTAAAAAAAAAGGGGGGGGACAGTTCTATATCTTTCATTCTACTTGGCTAGCTGACAAAATTCAACTTGCATTTTTCATATCTCAAAAGCAGGACTTAGGATTTACATTAGATTTATAAATAGCATTGTTCTAACATATGTGTTTTTGATACAAAATCAGACTTTTTCTGAAATTATTTGTCCCCATTCCTTTTGTTTTTCATATTTTGATTCTATGACTTACATATGCTTAAAACAAAATTTTGCTAAGAAATTTAAGGAGTAATTTGAGGATTTAGTTTGGCACACATTTTTTTTTTTTTTTTTTTTTACTTTGTGCCAAGAAAAATTTGAGGTGATCTTCTGGGTTTATGGCAAACTGCTTCACTTTCCTTTCCATTCTGCATGAGTAGGAAAAATGTATGTTTCTTCTTTCTTGCACATATTTTTTACTTTATATTATTTTTAGATTTTTTTTTTTTTTTCTTTTTCAGATTTCATTTTAATTTGAGTAGCTTGCTTGAATCATAATTTTTTAAATTTCTGTTTATTCATTCAAAATTTGCTAAGAATATTTATATTAATGTAAATGTTTTAAGAATTTGATTTTATTTATTTGAAATATACTTCTTTGGAAAGAATGCTTTGTAACCCAGTATATGCTACAATGCATTTGAAAACTGCATATATGAAAGCCTGTTTTCGAGCTCATTAAATGATGTGTTGTTTAAAAAGGCTATTCTGCATGGATTGAAACAAATGGTAATCAGAAAGGGCTATGTCTAGTGAATATGGAAGGCGGGGTAAGGCATCGCATTGAAGTTTCCTTCACTCTGTTTGCAATGTGTGTTTCTGAATTGTCATGAACCAGAATTACTTTTTTATATCTCTGAGTATATTCTGACCATTCATCTTTAAGTGCACAATTCAAATCGAGTCCACGTTTAGTGTTTCAAACAACTGTATAAGCGTTTGAGATGAATCTTTGGCCATTAGGGCCTCTAACTATCCATCATCAAACTTTTTCAGCTAACCAGGACACATTTTGTCGTTTAACTCAGAATCATTGTTTTTGAATAGTGAAAAATAATCTGTATGTTGTTTCCAACATAGCATATTCTCCAAATGCTTCTACTAGCAGGCAATTAGTTTCCATAGCAGATTTCTTGCAATGAAAGCAGAAGAGTAACACTTTCCACAAATGCTGTTTTGTAGATACAAAATCCGATATATTCAAGGCATACAAAATCCGATATGTTCAAGGCACTAAGTGTGTTCTTTTAACCTCCACTCAAAATTCACACACAGATCTGAAGGTCTAATGTTTCTACTCTTAACCCCTTATCTGTTATATATGTAACTGTAACTGTATCTATTATTATCTTTAACCATAACTGCAATATAGGGGGGCTGTGTGATCACCGAGGCAAGCGGCAGCACGATCGCTGCGCTCCGTAAAAAAGTGAAATTTTTTCCTTTCCTCTTGGTGATTATCAATTAAATTTCTTTGAAAAATGTTTATTTTTTCCCTACAAAACCTATATCATTCCAATGAATTTCGGCTTCGATGTTGACGAGAATAAAACAGCGGACAATGTAAGGATATACTCCAAAAGCCTGGAATTTTAAGATAAGTACTTTTCTTTCATCTAAAGTAAATCAAATTTCTATAAATAAGTGCCTTTAAATCAATAAATCTTAATTTTTCATCAGTTTAAAAGCATTAAAAAATACTTGAAATTGCCATTGCTTGTGGCTTCCTTTGTGAATCAACTTCCAAACAGATGCCAACGTTATCAGTTCACGTCTGTCAACCACTTACAAAGCCCTTATCTTGTTTTGAGGAATCTCGTGAGAGGGAAAATTTGGGGATGAGAGGGATAATTTGGGCATCGCGCTATTTCCCTCTCGGATCTTCTGGATTCTCCTTTTTTTCTAGATCACTTGAATATAGTTTTCGCCTTTAAATAATATTATACCTCACCGATTTTTTCTCATACTGTTCCTTTGCTATCTATTAAATGTCCATATGTAAGGGATTATTCTTCATTTGGTTTATTCTTCACCGCCTTAAATGAATTTTTAGAACTATGAGCTTATATAAATAACAGTGTGCCTCATTGTGTTATATTAACATTATTTAACTAGTAATAAATTATGATAGTAAAATAATTAATCTTGTAATAAATTATGATAGTTAAATTAATAAATACTGTTTAATTTGTGTTTTTAATACATATACTCAGTAATTTACACACACACATATATATATATATATATATATATATATATTTTATTTATTTATTTATTTATTTATTTTTTTTGGGTGTATGCGGTTGTGGTCTTGTATTGTATATGGTTCTATGTTGTTAGTCTGCTGCTGCTTTTTGAAAAATGTATGAAAATGTTGAAAATGAAAGTAGCATAAGTTACTTTGGTTAATTAATATATACTTTTGTTTGATGACCTTTGTTGATATCTCAGGATGCAAGCGTACATATTACTTTATATTCCATGCTAAATACCTTGATACGAAAATAAATACCGTCAATATTTGTTTTTTCCCCAGTAACACATCTATTCACCATTACCAAACACACTCACTACACAAACACACCTGTGAGACACTATTTATTGTAAATGAAGACAGTTTCTTCTTCTTTTAACTACAATCATGGACACAATCGTATTTTAGGATATTTTCTACTTCTTTTCCTTTTCTTTCTACAGGCCCCCCCTTTTTTTTTTCCTCTATTATTTTTGGGCCATTTATTTTAAATTTTATTTTGTCCCATCTTTTCTTCCTGGCCTTTTGAACTCTTACAAGATGTACGAAGTTCCTTTTTACTTTCCTCAAATACGAAATTGCCCCTCTTTCTATATACCTTTCCTTCGCACCTATGCTTGATTTTTCGCCCATCGGTGCAGAAAGACTTAGCGGGTGCAAAACAAGACATCTGTCTACTTTGTCTGTCTGTAACTGCAATATAGTATAGTAAATGAGTAATGTAGAATAAACGATGTTTGTGTACATCTTGTAATCATCACTGAGCAGGTACCCAACACATATAAAATACAACACATAGCGCAGCTCGTTGTTGATTAAAAAAGAAAATCTTTTTTGAAGAACCATGCAGCCTCGGTAAAGATGTTCTAAACAAAAACATCATGGGAAGTTGTTTACAGTGAAATCGAAACTTATATCGCTGGTAAAGTGAGTTGTTTATTTTTATTGGAAGTGGCTAAAAATATGTATATATAAACTATTTAAAGTCCTAAATTAAATATGGATGGATTAAAGCCACCAAGTAATCTAAGTTTCGAAGGAAATTTAAGCGAAAATTGGAAGAAAGAAATGGAAACAAAAATTCCAAATTTATATGTTAGCGTCTGGTGGTATTACTAAATCACCTGAAATTAAAGTACCTATTTTATTGCATATAATTGGTGAAGAAGCACTTGAAAAATTTAATACTTTTAATTTAAGTGAAGAAGATAAGAAGAAAGATGTTGACAAAGTAATTTAAGCTTTCGAAAATTATGCATACCGAAAGCAAACGAAAGTGTTGATTGATAGACATATATTTTTCTGTCGAACACAACATGTAGGTGAATCGTTTGATGATTTCTTAACCGATTTAAAGAAATTAAGTAGCAACTGTGGATTTGCAGAATTAAAAGATAGTTTAATAAGGGATAGAATAGTAAGTGGAATTCTAAATAAAAATATCAAAGATAGATTATTAAGGGAAGATCAGTTAACATTGGAGAAATGTATTAAAATGTGTAAGCTTCTGAATTAGCAGAACTTCAGCTGAAAACTTTAACTGAAGAAAATAAAATAGAAGCTATCAAACGTAATAAATTTCGACCTTCAGATGAAAAACGTCAGCCTTGTAAGAAAGACTTTCATGTAAAACAAAAGCAACAAAGTACTAAATCTTCTTCAAACTATCAAGGAAATAAGTATAATAATCCAAAACCATGTAGAAAATGTGGAACTTTTCATAAGTTATACAACTGTCCTGCTTATAATAAGATTTGCTTGTACTGTAAAAAGAAA